TTGTCTGTCTGTCTGTCTGTCTGTCTGTCTGTCTGTCTGTCTGTCTGTCTGTCTGTCTGTCTGTCTGTCTGTCTGTCGATATAGAGAGATAGAGTGATAGAGTGATAGAGAGATAGACAGATAGATAGATAGATATAGATAGATAGATATAGAGATAGATGGATAGATATAGAGATAGGTAGATAGATAGATAGATATAGATAGATAGATAGATAGATAGATAGATAGATAGATAGATATAGATATAGATATAGATAGATATAGATAGATAGATATAGATAGATATAGATAGATAGATGGAAATAGAGATAGATAGATAGATAGATAGATAGATAGATGGAAATAGATAGTTATACAGTATAGCTAGATATACACACACACAGTACAACTGATTTTAGGAGGAAGCCTCAGATGCTATCTTGATTTACCAACCAAATAAATTCAAGTATAAAATCACTGAGCAATAGAAAAAGACCAATTGTTTAAATGATTAATCACCGTTGTGACTGTGAAGCTCTAATTTCCATCATCTGTGCACTGTAGGACCTAAAATATTTCCTTCCTGCAGTTTCAACAGCCTTTGTCTGAGTTGAAAAACAGGCTGAACCTTTACGGTCAATTTCACAGTTCATTCAGAAAAAAAAAAACACCACTTAGGTTTACGTCTTTCAGAGCAGCAGTGAGTACAGTAGCAGCAGGTTGCTATAAAAAGCCCAATGGATTAGCCTGAGAAAACATCCCACAGAGCACACTGCTGTTCAAACACATCACGTCTTTCTGCAGCACGATTGTGTCTGCTGATTCCTGAGCTCTTACCTTCCACCTCCCTGCAAAAGACAAACACGTTTGTTTATAGCTGTCATCACTCGCAAAACAAACACATCACAGTGCGACATTACTCTGTCAAGTTATAACTCTTGGGAATTTAGGCGTGAAGAAAACATCTGTGCGTGCAGCCATGGAGACGTGCACAGTGACTTTTAGCACCAGACACAAGAGAAGAACGTACTCCTCGTACTCCTCCACCACTTCCTCGTTGTCCGACATGGTCGTGCACGTCCAGGTGAGCGGCAGGAAATCTGAACAACAAACGTAGTCTTTAATTCCACCTGGAGGTCTCTGTCCTACATCAAGTATTATAATCTTACCTGAGGAGTCAATGGAGCAAAGAAGAAAGAAGGCTGACTCGATGTGCAGTTACCTTCTCTGGCAACAAAGTAAGGTCAGAGGAAATGTCTGTGTCGTGGGAGAAATGGTTTTAGGGCCCACTTGTTGCGTTATTAATAACTTTTTAGATAGTGTGTGCTTGCCATTTCCAAAAAAGGCAGCTGTGAGCATGACTGTGGTGTTGAAGTGCCAAAAAGGCCCAGACAAAGCCCTTACACACTCACCCGTATATGGCACCCTGCCTCTGATAGAAGCCAAGCATGCAGCTCTTATCCAGCTCTCTGTGAGATAAGCTGAATGTTGTGTTCATTCAGGTCAGGTCACGTAAAGAATTCACTCGACTTTTGTAAAAGTAAAACTTTTTATTCCTCAAACAGGCAAAAAAAAAATCGTCTACAAATCCAGATAAGGGCTCAAACCTTGTTTAATTACAACTCCAGCATCCAGTAAACATCATTCACCTGCTTAAAGTGCTTGAGAAAAAAATGATAATTAAAAGATAAGATAAAATAGCCCAAGAATGTCAACAAATACCACAGCTCTGCTTTTTAACCTTCTCACGTCTTTACTTACGAAACAACTTTCTCTTGTTTTGCACGAAGAAGCAACGCAAAAATCAGACAGAAGCCTCCAAACTGTAAAATATTTATCCTCACATCAGTTTTCAAAAGCAAAATCTCAGCATGCGCTGTTCATCTCGAGTGTTTGTGCAGTAAAGAAGAATTCTTGAAGAAAAGAAAGGTCAGTCATGGCATCCAATAATATTCCGAGTCTTTGCCTCCTCTGTAAATAAAGACACAGAGAGGCAATCATTTCACATGGTGAATATAAACTTCTGGCTTTGCTTTATTCACTTTATTTAGGTTTAAATACAAGTTAAATAGCACAAACTTTAAGTTTACGTTCATTTAGTTCAATATGCGTCAGCAGACTTAACTGTTTAGTAAAACAACTGACTGACCATCACTTGTAGATTTTTCCAGGGCTGATTTTTGAGACGTTTTCCTCCCCTCTGTTCTCAAACAGGCTCCTCTTACTACTGATGTCCACATGTCTCAGGTCCTGCAAACAACGAAAGGAACGATTATAATAAATATATTTTGTCCACATGAGAAGAAAGCCCAAAGCCTGCTGTATTAAAATATTGTATATTTAAAG